CTACTCGGGAGGCTGAGGCAGGAGGATCGCTTGAGCCCAGGAGTTTGAGGTTGCTGTGAGCTAGGATGACACCACAGCACTCTAGCCCGGGCAACACAGTGAGACTCTGTCTCAAAAAAAAAAAAAAAAATCTATGTGCTCATTATATACATTTAATTTTTTCTTATGACTTTCTTTTCATACAGATATGAAAAATTGATGAAGATCAACCTAGAAGCAGCAGAGTTAGGTGAAATTTCAGACATACACACCAAATTGTTGAGAGTAAGTATTTATAAAATTATGAAAATTATAAAATCATAATCTGTTCCTTTGCTGACAAGATTAGGAAAGTTTAAATCTAAAGAAATGGTGTTTTTAACTCTAAAGAAGCCTTTCCCCATCTTTAGGAACTTCTTTATAGTAAATACCCTTAGTGCCATGAAATTCTTTATAACATTTCCAAATGCATGTACTTTAAACCTCTCTCCTCTCTCTCTCTCTCTCCCTCTGTTTTTAAATCTATAATGCTCTTGTGTTGCTGCTCTGGCAATTAAAGCAAGTTCATAAATGTAATTTAAATTTGACGTGCAGTTGAATCAGACAGAGTGCTTAAATTTGTTTAGAAATAGATGCAAATTAGGAAAATATTATCGGATCTCTTGTAAAATAAAAAGAAAAGAAAGATTTGGGATCTTCAAGGCAGTGAATGATTTCTATAACTAGAAAAAGCAGTTAGGATACAAATCTCTGCTGAAAAATACAAAAGCATTTCAGGGAGTCTCTGGATCTCTTATTAAAACGTATTCAGTCAGGGAGCTGTGGCTCACGCCTATAATCCTAGCACTCTGGGAGGCTGAGTCAGGAGGATCACTTGAGGCCAGAAGTTCAAGACCAGCCTGAGCAAAAGTGAGACCCCATCTCTACTAAAAATAGACAGATTAGCTGGGCATGGTGGTGCTTATCTATAGTCCCAGCTACTCAGGAGACTGAGGCAGGAGGATCGCTCAAGCCCAGGAGTTTGAGGTTGCAGTGAGCTACAGTGACACCGCTGCACTCTAGCCTGGGCAACAGAGCAAGACCCTGTCTCAAAAAAAATAAAATGTATTATAAGGCCAGGCGCAGTGGCTCAATGCCTGTAATCCCAGTGCTTTGGAAGGCCAAGGTAGGAGGATCAGTTGAGGCCAGGAGTTTGAGACTAGCCTGGGCAACATAGCAAGACCCTGTCTCTACAAAAATAGAAAAATTAGCCAGGTATGGTGGTGCATGCCTATAGTCCCAGCTACTCAGGAGGCTAGAAGCAAGA